AGGCTGGGGCAGATGATGCTCTGCATTCTTGTGCTTGGGGGGGGGGCACAGTGGGAGGGCTTCTAGTGTCCTGGCCCGACTGCTGGACCTCCTGATGGCAACCTGGTATTTTGGCCACTGTATGACACAGAGTGTGGGACTGGATGGGCCATTGGCCTGATCCAACACTGGCTTCTGTTATGTTCTTATGTTCTCTAGGCCAGGGATGGCCAAACTGCAGTTTGGGAGCTGCATGCGGGTCTTTCACACAATTTAATTTAATGTTAATAAAAAGCAAATTTGCATATTTTTCAATAAAAACCTGTGTGCAATATTCGTTCATCTCTTCCAGCTCTCAAACATCTGACGTTTATTATGTGTGGCTAGTTAGTGTGAGCTAGCAAGTTTGGCCACCCTCGCGCTAGGGTGATCCTGCATTGAGCCGGGGGTTGGACTAGATGGTCTGTCTGGCCCCTTCCAGCTCTCTGATTCTGTGCTCTGGTCACTACTTTACACCAGAGCTGATTCTGTTGATGTATTGAAACCCGTTCCTAAGTAGTGGTGTTGGTACAAATTAAAATCCAAAAACAAAAGCCGTGTAGAACCTTTTACTATTTACTAAGATTAAGCTGCGGTGGCTCAAGTGGTTAAGACGCTGAACTGCAGGTTGTGGAAGATCAGTAGTTCAGCAGTTCGAGACCCGAGTGTGCCGCATGACGGAGTGAGCTCCCGCCTCTAGTTCCAGCTCCTGCCAACCTAGCAGTTCGAAAGCAAGAAATTGCAAGTAGATAAATAGGTACTGCCTTGGTGGGAAGGCAACAGCGTTCCGTGCGCCTTGGTGTTTAGTCATGCCGGCCACATGACCACGGAAACGTCTTCGGACAGCGCTGGCTCTTCGGCTTTGAAACGGAGATGAGCACCGCAACCCTAGAGTCGGACTTGACTGGCTTTTGAGCAAGGGAACCTTTACCTTTACCTTAAGATTAACTAAAGTGACACATGATAGCATGTGAGCTTCTGATTTCTCCCCAAACTGTTCCTCGAGCCAAATGTTAAAGGAGGAATGGGAAGGGAGAAACGAAGACGTTTCAGACTGTGATCCTAAGGTCTCTGTAGAATACCGCGTAATGGACCCTGGTTAGAAGAACTGCTATCAGGTTGTACCTTTATACTTCTGGGAAGGAGGTGAGACAGTAGCAGTTTCCTCTTGCGTACAGGAAGGCTGGAGAGCAGTCTGATGTACCTTTGTCACCAAACAGAACCACACTGCTCCCTTAGAGATCAGAGAGAAGGAGTGGTGGTCTTAACCTGGATTTGCTGAAAATTTGGAAAACAAATCTGAGATTTTCCAGCCTCAGAAACTTCAAGCAGCTAAGGGCCGGACTTCATGATAGGCCCGACGTGCGTCAGGTCTTGGGTTTATGACCAGACTTCCACTCAGACGTGCATTGGGGGAAGCTCACCTATAAATTATAAATTCAATGAATAATAATAATTAAAAAGCACTTGTTCACTCGGTGCTGTGAGGGGAGAGAGAGAGAGCCTCCATTTTCTCCCTCGCCCAGTTTTCACCAGCAGAAAGCACATGTCGGCAAAAACCAGCTGAGAGGGAAACTTGAAGCTTCTGCTCCCAACCACAGCACTGAAGCAAACGAGCACTATTAAAGGTGAGCTTATCCTTACATCGTCTGCCTAGGAGCAATGTTCCCTCTAAGCTGAGTTAGGGTGAGCTAGCTCACAGTTTTTTAGCCTCCGGCTCACATATTTTTGTCTTGGCTCAGGAAGGATGGCCCCAGAGCAAATTTTAATGCCACAATTTTTATGCCAGTAGCTCACAACAAAGTAGACTTTTTGCTCACAAGACTCCACAGCTTAGAGGGAGCATTGCCTAGGAGTCTGACTGAGCATTTGTGATTCAGTGTGTGTTGGGTGTATGGGGTAGTTATGCCCTAAATAGGGGAGGTCAGCCTCCAAGTGAGACCTGGGGATCTCCCAGAATTATAGCTCATCTCCACAAGAAGAGGAGTCGGTTTTTATATCCCGCTTTTCTTTACCTTAAGGAGTCTCAAAGCAGCTTAAAATCACCGTTCCTTTCCCCTCCCCACAACCGGCACCTTGTGAAGCAGGTGGGGCTGAGAGAGTTTTGAGAGAACCGTGACTGGCCCAAGGTCACCCAGCAGGCTTCACGTGGAGGAGTGGGGAAATCAAACCTGGTTCTACAGATTAGAGTCCGCTGCTCTTAACCACTACACCACATTGGCTCTCATCACCATGACTGCAGTTCCCTCTAAGTTGAGTTAGTGTGAGCTAGCTCATAATTTTTTAGCCTCCAATTCACAGATTTTTGTCTTAGCTCAGGAAGGAGGGCTCCAGAGCAAATTAATTTATGCAGCAGCCAAATTGCTCGCTCACAACTTTAATGCCAGTAGCAAACAAAGTAGAATTTTTGCTCACAAGACTCCACAGCTTAGAGGGAGCATTGACCAGGACTACAGAGCACAGTTCCCCTGGAAAAAATAGATGCTTTGGAGGGTGGACTCTATGGCCTTGTACCCCACTGAGGTTCCTGTCCTTCCCCGGCTCCACCCCCAAATCTCCAGGAGTTCCCCAGCCTGGATCTGGCAACCCCAGCCCTAAATCGTGCCGACAGGTTGCAGCGTTTGTTTCAGCTCAGTTTATGTTTGTTTTACATAGCTGTTTATACAACACCATGGCCAAAAAAAAGCAAAAAATCTGTTCCGAAATATTGTACTCGGCTTCCCAGATGTTTCTGAATGCAAGTCAGTATGCTAGTTTTAACCTTTTAAAGCCCTGCCTGATTTGGGACTGACGTATAATGAGAAACTAACTGCAGTGCTATCATATAATCCTGCCTATTCTCTGATCTTCATCAGAGACCACATCTTCCAGCTGAGACGGGTGACTGCTCAGGAGAGGGCCTTTGGCTACTGCCACACGCTTCTATTATAGTGTTTCCCTTACCGTGTCTCTGTTCCCATATCCGTGTTTTAATAAACTACAGAGAAGGCTTTGTGATCAGCAGGGCTATTTTTGGGCAGGAACGCACAGGAACAGAGTTCCGGCTGGCTCCCAAGTTTGCCACGCCCAGCAGGAACTCATTAGCATAATAGGCCACACCCAACAGCAGAGACTCATTAGGATTGGCTACAATTAGGGGTGTGTGGCCTAACATACAAAGGAGTTCCTGCAACAAAAAAGCCCTGGGTTTTGACAACAGACAAGGTAAACAGAATTAAAAAAGGTGGGTGTGGCTGGATGACCACAATTCTGGTAACATGGAGGTATGGCCTAATATGCCAATGAGTTGTGCTGTCAGAGGTGTGGCCTAATATGCTAATGAGTGCCTGCTGTTGGGTGTGGCCTATTATGCTAATGAGTTCCTGCTGGGCTTTTTCTACAAAAAAAGCCCTGGTGATCAGTGTGCGTAGGGAGGGAGCGGGGGATGCAACCTGGGCTGGTTAATGAAGCTTCTATCCGGTGGGGAAAGAACAGCGGCATCAAGTGGGCGGTGGCCGTGCCTGGGACCTGGCTTTGACGCAGGCCCGTAGCCAGGACTTTGTGGCTTGTGGGGCAGTTTTATTTAAAAAAATAATTTCTATTAGTTTTTCAACTAAATAACATCAACAAATACAAACAGCAGTGAATAAACGGAGATGAGCACCGCAACCCTAGAGTTGGATTCGACTGGCTTTCGAGCAAGGGAACCTTTACCTTTACCTTAAAGGTCAATAAAACCAGACCAATTCCAGTAAAAACATTTAAACAGCGAATGTTTCGACAAAGCAATATAAAGTACAGCTACGAGGAGTGATAAAGCAGTTCAAAAATGAGCAAACATACTGCATATGCTGTTTTTTGGCTCCTTAGCTGTCGTATTGAGATATGTTGAAACGGGGAACCAAATTTCAGCAAACTTTGAATTGTAAGAAGTAGATTCCGCGATTCGAATTTGATCTGAGATTTTAGCCATAATAAAGAAATCCCAAAGTTTATTTACCCATTGTGAAACCGAAGGAGTTTGTTTGTCTTTCCATTTTGAAGCCAGTACTAACTTAGCTGCCACTAGGAGAATAGCTATCAAATCTCTTTTGTTTTTTGGGATACTTTTGTCATGCCAAAGATTCAGTAGGACCATTTCTGGCAGCAGTGGTACATCGTCCGCGCTCCTAACCACTACACCAAACTGGCTCTCTTAAATAAGAAGTCCAAACTCCTTTTCTGTACAAAAAATAAAAATCATGCATGTGCAATGGTTTCCTTCTGTTAGCTCTCATTAGTGCAGGAATTATTGACCCAGGTAACATTGTGGTGGGATCAAATTTTACAACAGGCTGGTAGAAAATGGTGGCTGGGTGCCAATCCCAGCTGCAATTCGTGGTTCACTGTGTAGGTTTATTTAACTGAAATATTTATATCTCACCTTTCTTCTTGGCTGAAGGCAATTTATAAATAATAAAACGCTACAGATGTAAACCAAATCAAACCCCCACCCAATGCCTTCCTAGGCTGTAAAATTATACCTGCCTCCATTCAGGCGTTCCGTC